CAAGGTAGGGGGTGCGCCCAGGGGGTAGGGCGCGCCCCCACCCTCGTGGGCAGGGTGTGGCCCCCCTGGTGAACTTCTTGCGCTCAGTATTTTTTATATATTCTGAAGACGTCTTTCGTGAAGATTCGGGACTTTTGGAGCTGTGCAGAATAGGTCTCCAATATTTGCTCCTTTTCCAGCCCAGAATCCCAGCTGCCGGCATTCTCCCTCTTTATGTAAACCTTGTAAAATAAGAGAGAATAGGCATAAGTATTCTGACATAATGTGTAATAACAGCCCATAATGCAATAAATATCGATATAAAAGCATGATGCAAAATGGACGTATCAGCGGCGAGGTAGAAGCACGAGGCTCGTGGGGAGTTGCAAACCGACGAGAATGGGATTGGTCAACGACCTTGCTACATCCAATGGCGAGCGGGGCTGCAAGCGTGGCGGGGTGAGATCTACATCCATGGCCGGTAGGGATTTTGATCTTCCATGGCCAGCGGCGAGCTACTCACGAGCTGGAGCGATGGAGGCAGGAGATGCGGGCGTCGGTGTTGCGCGCTGCAACGATGGAGGCAGGAGAGAGGATGGGGCAAGATCCGCGGGAGCTTGGAGACGGGGATGGGGCGAGATCAGCGGGAGGTTGAAGAAAAGCAGCGATGAATGGTCCACATCCTACGTGTCGCTTAGTGGATGGCTGGGGTGGAGCGCGTGTGGACAGGATCGATGCAAAGTTCCGCCGGCGCGCCATATGGAAACGATTCCCTTAAGTTATAGGGGATATGCTAGATGAGAAAATGTCATTTCCCTAATTTTTTTTAGAAAAATGGGATAGGGAGAAGATTTGGACTTTTAGGAAAGGGATCTGCTAGAGATGCCCTTAGTATGGTTTGTAGTGATTTCCAGTCGATACTAGAAGTGTTATCTTTAAGGACTAAAACATTGGTCTCAATTGAGGGAAACTTGCCTACAAGCTACAAACTCTTGCAGTTGGAGCCTAACAACTTGGATTCCAATACACAATAGTGGAAACAATCAAATACCCCCCCCCCCCTCCTCTTTGATACACCGTTCATGGTATTACAAGTGGCCCTCAATAAGCGGACATTGGTGGGCCATCCTGCAAATTTGAAAGAAAAAAATCTGATCATTAGTTCAATTGATTAGTAATAGTTGCAGCAAATAAATCATATGAATGAATCCTAAAAGTAACCAAAGTAAAAGGGCACTGTGCTATGCCCCATAATATAAAGTGTGTAGTAAGTGGTTCTTTAGGCAACGCCATTCACCGAGCTTTATTAGTTAAAGAAAACAGTTACATCTCTCATGAGACACTCCAGAATGAAACTCAGGGGATTAACATCTCAAAAACAAGAATTACGCAAAGAAAGAAAATTCATACCAAGTTCATGTGCCGCCACATTGACCTCTCTATTACAATACTCAATTGAAACCATATCGAATCTAGTCCACATGATATCCCAATCATCATATATGGCTGACATCCTTCATCGTTGACAACCTGCATGCAGTAAATGAATAGCCGCTAATATGTTGTGCAAGCATCAAACCTTCTAAGAAAGCATATGATTCTGTTAAGCAGTTTAATAACATGTATTTTAAAACAAAGATGTAAGAAATCGTCCATCTTTAAATTAATAAAGCCCACTAAGGCAGAGTACAAATAACCTCGTCCAACAACATAAAAGACATGATCAAGTCTAGGTGAAATGAGCAGATAAGTCATGTAAGGTTACAGGGCACCATCAACAAAGGAAGATCACCAAGCTCAGGGAATCAGCGGAAGACAGAATGCCCTATGTCGCAACGTTCAACGCCCTGGCAATGGAGTGGATTTGACGAAGCTTTTTTATTGCCAGCTGGATCCCTTGAGCATCTCGATGATTCCCCAACGACATCCATTACTGCAAGAAGATAGTGCATTGAAGGGCAATCACCCCCTCCCCCCGGCAAAAAAGAAGGGAAATCGGTCGGATGAGCTGGAATTATAGATCAATGGCAATCTTGTTACAAATATGCCAAAGTGGCTGCAATAGCGCCCCAACGCAGCGCCACATAACAAGCTTAAAAGATCCACGAAGATAGGATCGCCAAGAGTTCAGCTCCAGACAAAGGCTTCCAACTCATACCCACTGCTTCCCTGACGGTGCCCCAGGCAAAGCATGCAAGTGGGCATCGAAAGAAAGCATGATTGGCGTCTTCCATGCTGGCATATATAGCACAGTTGCCGTCGGAAGAGCCATTCCGTTTGGCAACATTGTTAGAGGTCGAAAGTTTATTCCTAAACATTTGCTATAGAAAGATTTTGAGTTTGAGCGGCACTCTGGCTTCCCATAGGCCCCTAGCTACGTCCAGTGTAGGACCCTTGGTTAGCTTAGCGTCCAACGACTTGACTGAGAATTGGCGGGAAGCGGTGAGGTGCCAAGACACCGAATCCGTGACATTAAAAAAGGTAATGTGGGCAAACCTACCACACAACACATTCCACCTGGCGCTTTCATCAGGTGTAAATGCACATTGGGACGCAATGTATGGAGGGGGAGAGCGAAGGGCCTCGGCCACCAAAAGGTCGGGGGTTACCACAAGAGAAACAGACCAAAATCTTTTAAATCGGATCTAAACCGATCTAATTAAGAATCAAACCAAAAAAAAACCAACTTCCCATTTTTAACCTCGAATTTGGCCCCTGGGGCAAAGGCTGGTTTCACTGTCTGGATCCCGTTCCAGAACGGTGACCCATGAGCCTTAGACTCAAAAAATGATTCGTGGCCTCGTGGAGGCAATATTTCGCTTTTAGGAGGTCAGCCCAAAGCCCCTTAGCATCTACGATAGCTTACAGATCTACTTGGTTAGGAGGGCTGCATTCATAAGTTTGGAATTGAGTTACAGACATGTCAATATTCTTCTAATAACAAATGTGACTGACTTATACAAATGCCCAGTCAAAAATGTACCCCCTCTGTGTAAACAAATGTAAGACGTTTTAGGTCACTACTTTAGTGACTTTTCGAAAATGAGGATTACCCTCGGCCTCTGCATCAAGCGATGCATACAACCATACTACTTTAGTGACCTAAAACGTCTTATATTTTTTTACAGAGGAGTATTTAACAACTCGGCTGATTAATTCTAATAGTTTCCTGATGTAACTTCCAACCATGTTATAACAAGTTGAGGTATAAATCTTCAGGGAAAAAAGAGGGCTATACCTATAAAATATGATTTGAGTTTTTACTTGTTGGCATCCACAAAGGTGAATAATTATATCAGAAATATGACAATGGTATTAATCTAACAACTATCCATTCCATCCTATTAAAGTGACTAAGCAGCAGTGGCGGCGCTGGGGTCTTCCTGGGAATTCCCTGGAATACCAAAGAATTTGGCCCAGAAAAAATTGACTACATATCTTTATACGTTCTGAAGCCCACGAGGCCACGAACTCAAGCCCATCCTGGCAGCCACGCGGTCCGACAGAACCAATGCAGCAGAGTCGTGCCTCGTCTCCACCTCTCCCTCCCTCGATTCCTGATTCTCATATCCCAAATCTCCAACCAAGCTAACGGACGGCGGCGGCAAAGCGATTCCAGGTCCGACCAACTGGTCCGACATGCGATGGGTGACGGCCGGCCCATTCCCTCCCCTCCTCTCCGGCTCTCCCGTTCGCCTGCGTCCCTCTAGGCCTCTCCTTCATCAGTCCTCCTCTGGCCTCCCCCCTGCAGGCGCTCTCCACGGCTGACGGCTCCACCTCAGGCAGTCCGGCCTCCGTCGCCGTCGGGCTCCATCTCCGGTAGTTCTGCATCCATCCAGTACTGCAAATTGCATTTAGCCATCCCCCATCCATCTACAGGCACCAACCACCAAGGTAATTTCCCTCTATTTTTAAACAAATCTGTAACTTTTTTGTAAATTGCCACAGCCACTTAATGCTAGGAGTATAAGTACCGATTGCTTGTAAATTGTAGGAATAATTATTTGTTCCAATGTCCATCAGTCAATACCACATTGCCATTGCCACTGCCACTGATTTTTTACTTTGTTTATGTAATTTGTTGTTCTATTATACTGCGTTAGCAAAAATTTTTTTACAAGAATACCCAGCAGCAAATTCCTGGCGCCGCCACTGCTAAGCAGGAGCACATGTCATTAACAGATTTCATGAGAAAGGGATGATAGGCAATCATTACCGGAGACAACCTACTCTTAATCGATACAATATCGAGCAAATACGACCAAATTTGGAGGTGCAACCAAAATAAGCAGGGGATGTGGTGGATGTTACCTCTACAAATATATAGAGGAGCGTAAATCCACATGCTCATTGCCACATCTCAGCGTCGTAAACCTTGGCGCTGAAACCTGTGACCTCAACGCCTTTTTGGCTGAGTTAACCTTTCCTGGAGGGTTTATTTTTGGTTGAGTCTTGTCAAAGGGGTCACAATTATCAATGTACACAGCTTGCTCATGTTGCTGGGTCGGAAAGATCATCTCTGCCTGACAAAACAAGCTGGGGAATAACGAGCTTTGAATAAGACCACGCAGTGATGTCATCCTCCGATGCCTGCTACAGTAGCTAGGGTCCATATAATTATAGCATGCACCCGTTGCCAACGCAACAAAGGGGTTGGGAGATCGCTTGATTTGAGGGCCATGAGTCGAGCTGAGTGCCATCTGTAAATAAATATTCCCAAATAGTCACAAATAGTGCAAAACAAGTGTATATATGACATGAGGAATTTAAACCCGGCGTGCGGGCAATGGTGACTTGAATGAGACTGCCGATCGAATGGCCCGGCATAAAGTCTAAAATAAGATGGCTTGATCAAGTAATGCCATGATTGGGACACACGCACACACGATGCAGCTAGCATGCCAGCATCGATGCCATGCTTACGCTCGGTGGTGCTAGCTAGCTCTACAAATACACTTCCTTAGCTAGCGAGGCTCTATAAATACACTTTCCCAGAGCTCAACCGAGTAAGTAGAGCACCCATGGCCATGGCGTCCGCCGACGAAAATGGGGCCGGCAACCACAACAAAAACACAGACTCCCCCAAGGCTTCGACGGAGTTCCAGCTGAAGAAGTACCTACTGCTGCTTGCCACCCTGGTGGCGACGGTGACCTACGTGGCGGGGCTCAACCTGCCGGGGGGTTCCTGGACGGAGGACACTCCCGGCGGGCAGGTGGCCGGCGAGTCAATCCTCCGGGAGACCTACTACTACCGCTACATCGTCTTCTACTACTGCAACGCCGTCTCCTTTGCGGCGTCCCTCGTCGTCAGCCTCCTCCTCCTCGTGCTGCATAAGGGCGGCTCCTACCACTACTGGCTCCGGCCGGTCATGGTGATTGACCTGTTCGGCCTTATGGGGGCCTACGCCGCCGGGAGCAGCCGCGACAAGTTCACCACCGTCTGCGCCGCAGTGATGGTGGCTGGCCTCGCTGCTTATGTCACTGTCGCCTTCATCTGGTACGTCCTCCGCCACGCGACAGGAGGCACGGCCGCCAACAAAAAAGAAGAGAGTCCAGATCAAGAGGCGGCGGCACTCGCGGAGCACGAGATCCTGATGGTGCTCGCCATCTTCGTGGCAACCGTCGCGTACGTGGCCGCGATGAACCCGCCCGGAGGCTTCTGGCGAAGCACCCAGGAGGGCCACCACACTGGCGGTGACCCGATTCTGCAGGGCGGCCACTCCGGCCGCTACAAGTCCTTCTTCTTCTTCAACACCACCGCCTTCGTGGCGTCCCTGCTCGCCATCATGCTCATCCTCGACTATAAGAAACTCAACATCAGCAGTGACAGATTTGGCGTAGGGCGTTGCGGGCTCTATGTATCCCTCATCATCGCGATCGGCGGCCTCGGCGGCGCCTACGCTGCCGGGAGCTGCAGGAACCTTGAGAGCACTGCCATTGTTCTGTCCCTAGGGCCAGTTGTTCTAATCTACATTGCTCTCCAGGTGGGCGTTTCTACAGACAAACTCCCGTGTATTGGTCGCATGTGCAGTTATCCAAGAAAATGGCTGCCGGTAATAACAAGATTCGTCACTGATTCCACTTGCACTTCCAGGTACGTGTTTCCTTGGCTTGGCACATCATTGGCACGTACACATAGTTAATTTTAGGATTAGATTTCCGTGCTAACCACATTCATTTTGTACGGCGAATGCTAATATATTTTTTTTTAACTTGATCAAACTTTAGAAGGTTTGACTTAAAACAAAGCTAATATGCAAAGTATGAAAAGAAGATTCGTGCACCACTACATGAGACTTAACTAAGTCACATTTAACTCCTACCCCACTTGATTTTCGTGAAGATTCATGCAGGTTTATTACTTTTTTTTATTACTCAAATGATGTGTAGGAGTTCGATGTGACTTTGCTATTTCTCATCTAGGTGAGATTTAGCAAATCCGTAGAAAAGAAACAAAGGGAGTACGGTGTTGACCACATTGAAGGCTTGATTAAAAATAATTGGTGAATCATGCGTGCATCAGTCGATGCACCACGATTCGTCCATAAAACGTAGGCTAACTTTATCTATAATCAGACGGTGGGGCCAGATTATAAGGTTTGAGATCTACCCCACATAAATATAAGTGTATACTATATTAGTATACACAACAACTATTCGGTGGATCTATAATACAGGTCCATTTTATCAGTGAATTTTTGAATAAAAATAAAAATAAAACAATTCAAGTCTCATACAAACATTATGTGAAGTCTATAATAAATAGGTAACTTTTTTCATATATATGGCATAGGTTGGGTCTAGGAATAAACAATTGATCTATTTTTATATACCAATTCCAAAGAAAAATATAGAGAAAATCTAGCAAAGTAATTTATTTACGCATTTTATGCATGATTTGTATGAATACATACATTTACAAATAAAGTAAAATTATATAGAAAAATTGAAGTTGATTTTACACTTATTTAAGAAACACAATTCAAAATAACAAATAGCAAAAAATTGGCACTTTCCTTTTGGAGATAAAAAAACGCAAGAAATTCACAATTCGCGTTTCATATGAACTCCATCTGAAGTCTATAGCTAAATTTTGAGTCAATTATCAATCTCATACATTATATTTAGGAATACATATCTAGTTTCATATATGAAATTAAAAATAACAATATACAAAAACTAGCATGTAGATTTGTGTGTGCACATTATATTACTTGCACAAATAGATACATTTTTAAATAAACCTAAATATAATATAAAAATATGTTTGATTTAAAATTATTTTAGAAACATAATTCAAAATATCAAATAGATGAAATTTCAGGTTTGATTATTTCTATATGTAGTCCATATAAAATTCATAAATAACTGCATTTCAAAATATATTTTTGTATGAATTAGTGGTTGCATTAAACTA